CACAACAAAACTTCAGATATAAGCAAAGTTTTGTTGAAGATTCACATACATCCCCAGGCAGGGTTGCACAAGTACATGATGTAGGTCATTCTTCAGTCTTACGTTTATTACGTAAAAATAAATTTAAATCATACAAAATTAACTTATTGCAAGAATTAAGTGAAGATGACTTTGGTCGTAGATTAGAGTTTACTGATGTAATGATGGATAAAATTGAAAATTATTAAAATTTCGTTAACTTTCGTTAACATAATATGTTTTTCCGATGAAGCAACTTTTACACTGTGTGGAAGTGTAAATCGACACAATTTAAGGTACTGGTGTAACGTAAATTCACACTGAAGACTGAATGCGTGAAAACCATACTCAAAGACCACAAAAATTAAATGTATGGTCAGATATAGTTACTTATTCAATTGGGTCATTTTTTGTCGAAAGAAATTTAACGTCAGATAGTTGGTGTAAATGTTCGGCAATATTTAGATGAGATATTTCCTGGACGATAAATTGGTAGACAAGGTAGAATTGAATGGCCTCCACGTTCACCCGATTTCAATCCTAAAGATTATTTTTATTAGGGATACTTGAAAAATTCAGTTTACAAAACTTAACCAGCAAGTCTTGCAGAGCTAAGGCAACGAATTTTCAATGAATCTCGAATAATTTCTAGAAAATCATGGAGAAATGTAGTAGACGCCTTCTACCATCGATTAGGGTGCTGTCAACTCACAAATTGAGCACATTTTGAACACTTAATAACGTAACTACTATGTTAAAAAATGTTCTAAACTATCAATTGTTACGTTTTAATGTATTTGAAAATAGTTAGTATTAAAAAATTTATTGAAACAATTTAGGCGTTGCCAGACTTCAGTTTTATGTATTTATGACCTTCCAGATTACATAAAATCATAAGTGTTACATATGGTTGAACTCGTATTGAATAGGAGATTCCAATAATCACTGAATATACAGGGTGATGTATTTGAAAAACCAAAGTTACTAATAATATAAGAAAAACGGCAAATCTGGCAACATTGTAAATATCAAATATGGAATCTCCGTATCCCAAAATAGGTGTACTTCAAATTTTGTACAATTATGATTAGCATTTTACGAGATAATTAGCCGTTTCCAGACTTTTGAGCCACTCTGTATATACGCTGGATACAAAAACAGAATGAAACAAGGAATAATATGAAAATATTTTTTACAACTAACTAATACTAAGATTTGATATTGTCTGCTCTAGACAATATAATAATACCTGGTGAAAATAATATTGAAACTGAAAATATCCCAATCAACCGGGTTTTTTTTCAGGGGGACTCGTTGAGTCCACTTTGGTTTTGTTTAGCGATAAACCCACTATCTCAGCTGCTGAACTCCACTGACTCAGGTTTTAGCATCAAAAATAATAATACTGTTATGGCGAATCTGTTGTATATGAATGATTTGAAATTAATGGCTTCTACTTGAAACCACCTAGATAAGATGCTAAAAACTGTAGAAAATTTGGACTAGACAAGTGCCCTAAATATAGTCAGAGGAAAGGTTCAGCCCGAAGGTTTCGATATGCAAGATGGTCAGAACATCGAGGCGATGGGTGAAAATGATATGTACAAATATCTCGGAGTAAAGCAAGCGCGAAAAATTGACCATAAACTAATGAAAACCGAACTAACTTCTGTGTTTGTGCGAAGAGTAAGACAGCTAAATCAGTCATATCTTAATAGCAAAAATTTGTTTAATGCATTAAATACATACGCCTCTTCCGACTTAGCTACTTATTTGGTATTATCAAGTGGTCAAAAACGGAGAAGTTTATTTATTCAAAAATATATTATATAATATAGAGGGTCTTCAGCAGAAAGTAAGAACACTTCTCACAAAGGCGCAAAAACATCATCCACGCAGTGCAGTAGAGAGAACAACATTGCGTGGTATTAAGGGGGAAGAGGACATGGATATAGGTGAGCAATTGGATAATCAATTAGCCTATATTTGTCCACTGCTGAACGTAGGCCTCCCGTAAAATTTTCCACCTATTTCTATTTTGAGCTTCTTGCATCCAGTTTGTGGTGATGCGCTTGATATCATCCGTCCACCTAGTCGGTGGTCGTCCTCTGCTTCAATATGCATCTTGCCTTGGTCGCCATTCCAGAATCTTTCTGGTCCATCTATCACCTGCTAATCTGGCAAGATGTCCGGCCCAAGCCCATTTAGCCATGGCTATTTTTTCAACTGCATCTGTGACTCATGTTCTTCTTATTTCTAGGTTTGGTACTTTATCTCTGATGGTAATACCTAATATTGATCTTTCCATAGCGCGTTGTGTAACTCTTATTTGATCTATTGTTCTTTTTGTCAGAGTCAGTGTCTTTCTTTTTAAACAAACTGGGATACTAGACTTGAAAATGTTATTCAATCTACCAAAGGCAGCTCATGTAAGACCTATCCTTCTTTGTATTTCAGTTGTCTGATTATCTGGGCCTAAGCAAATCTCATGGCCTAGATATTTGCTATTACTTGGTCGATGCTATGGCTCTCAATCAGAATTTTACCGCAGTCAGCCAATGCTTGCAGCATTTCATTTTTATCAATGGCTTGAGTTATGCATTCAGTGTTGTAATTTCTGACATCTTTTCGAATGGATTTTGTGATATCTTTGTTTAACTGTCTAAGTGTTACAAAATTATCTGTGTATTTGTCTTTCAATTCTCTTCTTTTGTTTATAAGATCTTTAGTAGCTTGAGTGAGTTTATCCATCTTGTTTTTTTTTTTCTCTTTCCTTATATTTTCCATGAGCGTTTCGAATCGCACTATTTATTCGCATGTTTGTCACTTCTATATCTAATGAATTTTCATTTAGATGTTCTACTTCTTCCAGTTCTGAAGTTATGAGATTCTGATAAGCTATTATGAGAATGCCTCTCTGTTATCATTGCTGTCCTCTCTTGTCTAATGTTGATCATTATTTTTGCTCTAACCAACCGATGGTCACTCCCAACAATGATTTTATTAATTACTGTAACATCTTGGACAATATTTTTTCTATTTGTGATGATGAAATCAATTTCGTTTTTTGTTATGCCATCTGGACTAGCCCACGTCCACTTAAGTTGTTGGTTCTTTTTGAAGAATGTGTTCATCACATAGAGCCGATGATGCAACAAAAAATGTAGTAGCACACCTCCTCTATCATTTCGCTCACTGTATCCAAATGAGCCCATAGCCACTTCCGCGTTATTTTCTTTAAATCCAAGTTTAGCGTTAAAATCGCCCATTAAGATTAGGTGGTCGGTTTTATCTTTTTCTATAGCTCTATTTAGATCTTCATAAAAGTTTTCGATTTCTTCATCGCTATGGCTCGTCGTGGGTGCATATACTTTGATAATTTCAATAGAGGTACTCTATTGCGTCTCATTCAGTTTTAACAAGGTACACAAATCTTGAGCTTACACTCTCTATTTTTATAATTTTATCTAGGTGTTTCTTGTGCATGAGAAAGCCTACGCGGCCAACTGCCTTAAATTAGATAAACAAATTGCTAATTTAAGAACTTATTTTTAGGTACAGGCTAAGACATCAACTTTATGTCGAGCAATTTGCGCAGTAGATGATACAACGTCGCTTAAACTGAGGGAACAAGAAATGCGCATAAACCACCTGACTCAGCAAGAAAAAATGCGCACCTGGATGAGTAAACCTCTGCACGGGTGACACTCAATGAGATCAGCCAAGAATATGTCGACAATCATCAAACTATTGGTTGACAGGAAAAATGTTTCCTGAGACTGAGGGTTTCCTACTTGCCATTCAGGATCAAGTTATTCCAACTAAAAATTACCTGAAATATATTGTTAAAGATCCTTAAGTTTAAAATGATAAATGCCGATACAGATGCCAAGCCCAAGAAACCATCCAACAATTACCAGTGGCTGCCCCCTCATTTGTCAGTACTGATTATAAAGAACGCTATGACTCAGTAGTAAAGATTATCCATCAAGAACTAGCTAACAAACTGCGACTTCTCCAAACTGACCATCTTCCTTGTTATCAATATGTCCCTGACAATGCTTGAAAATGACAACTACAAGCTCTACTGGGACTGCACTGTGCTTAAAGACCAACCAGTGGCGCATAATAGGCCAGATCTCATACTAATTAATAAACTTACTAGACAAACAACTCTTATTGATGTGGCAATACTCAACACCAATAATTTACATGTTAAATAAAACAAAAAGATCGCCATGTACAGAGATCTAGAAATACAGATCAGGAGACAATGGAGAATTAAAAGTACCCAGACAGTACCTATTGTTCTATCTACTACTAGTGTTATTCCCAAAAACCTCCTAGCGAACATAAAAGTCTGGGTCTAAATAATCATCTTTAAAAGGCCATGCAGAAAACTGTACTCCTTGTGACGTCCAGATGCGTACGAAAATTTTTGGGAGATACTCCAACATAAGTATTATTCTATCTACCACTGGAGTCATTCCGAAGAACCTCCTAGAGAACATAAAAAAGCTGGGTCTAAATGTACATCTATATAAGATCATGCAGAAAGTTGTGCTACTTTCGACATCCAGATGCATGTGAAAATTTTTTGGATACACCAACATACACCAAGTAACCTAGGGCTCGATAACACAGAAAGGGTCCCACCAGAGCTCAATCCTTTTGATACCATAGGTATCTGGGATGAGTGAATTTTCCCTTAGAGGGAGTGTGAACCATATGGCTACATCTGGGATCATAATAATGTCAACATGTCTGAAATCAGATTTATTTTGCTTTATTTAAACAAAACCTACATTTTTACTGTATTAAATATCATCATTATCATTATGGCGGCCCTTAAAGGGCATCAACCTTCTTAAGCTACACTATTTACATACACATTGATATAAATTTTGTATGATGATATTGATGTAACCTTGTGTATAAATTCATTCATATGTTTATAAGAAACAATAGTTTTTATCACTTACCTTCCAGAGTTGTTACTTGAATCGCTTTTGCTCTCATTTTCTGAACCTGAGCCGGAAGCAGAATTTTCTGAGTCTGAGCCTTCCATCTATAATAATTATAAGTGTTGGATGTACACATTTTTATAAGGTAACAAATGAGGAAAAATAAGTTTATGAGAATAACTTTAATACAAAAATGTTGAATACAAAAAAATCCTTAGTACTATAATTTAGTCCTCGGAAAAAAACAAACTACAAAAAAATCCTAAATCCTTCTCAAATGACAAACAACTTCTGACGACAAACATTCAAAAAATGTACTTGATTTTAAGTGTAACAATCAACAAAAGAGACCATTTTAGACCATTCTTTTAATTTTATTAATTAAAATGACATCACAGGGGGCATATTTATTATCCTAAACATACAAGTGAAGCATTATGAATAGAGAACAATAACACCTAACTTCTTCTTTTATCTTAAAACCTACATTCAAAATAGATCTCCATCCAGAACACAAAACAGTTTTCCCTTAAAAACAAAACAAATCCAGGTAAAAATATACCACTTTTATTAAACTTTATAAACGCTACTAAAATGTCAAACAACTTTTGATGACAGTTAACCAAAAAAATGTACTTAATTTTAACTATAACAACCCACAAAAAACATTTTTCAGCAATATTGACATTATTTTCAATTTTACAAATTAAAATGACATCTTGGGGCATCATATTTAATATTCTGAACATAAAACTTTACTCCTTACTTTACCCATAACAATAAATTAAAAATAGGTTCCCATAGAGAACAGAAGATAGTGCTCTCAAAAAAAAAACAAATTGACACAAAAATATACCTTTTATTAAACTTTATTTAATCCTACCAAACAATAACACATTTTTGAGAATAATTAACCACAATACTTACTTCCTTTCAACTATAACAAACCACAAAGATATGTTGGACCATTTTTCACATTTTTTCAATTATACTAATTAACTATCACAGGGGGCATCACATTAAGTACTATAACATGAATGTAATAAACCATAATCAACAGTAAAAATGGATATCTAATGCCTGTCTTGGCCATTTACATTACAAGCCAAGTTAAAAATGTATAAATTTGTCCCCTACACAACCCCCCATAATTTAAGAATAAAATAAATGTGATGATTATGTTCAGATTCATCCAGCAAATATTCTAAAAACAAAACTGGTGATGCCAGTAATGTAGATGTTTTCTTATTTCCATAAATATAATACCCAACCCAGTTCATTGTAGGGGGGCCACAATGAATGATCTAAATAAAAAATCCACAAATCAATCCACACAATGCTCAAAGAAAACTAGCATGTCTTAGTTATCTTGACCTCTAATTACATAATATATAATGTACTATGGGTTACAGAAAAATGTTCTAGTTGACCATTTAAACAACCAACCCCCCTTCCCCCAACAAGAATTATAATCAAAAATCAATCTGGATATTATGAAAAGGTTAAGCCTTTAAAAGGCTTGAAAATATCAAGATAAAGTACACAAAATGATTTCTTAATGTAGATTTTTTGCTATTTCTTAATTAAAACGATGAGGGGGTTACAACAAATTGTTACAACATAAAGTAAACTATGATTTACAAACAAGGTTAGTACCTACCCCACTCATATTTTACTTCATTACATAATATCTACAGCAGATACTATGGGTTAACAAGGAACTATATATCAAATGACCCCCTAAACAACCCCCTAAACCTAAAATATGAGCAAAAATAATCCTGGTGGTCTACAGAAGGTTTCCTCTGTAACAAGACCTAGAATCCAACATAAAGTGTACATATATGATACCGTCGTGTATGTAAACATGCATAACATCAATAAAGGTAGTTGCATCAAAAGATAGAGTTAACTTTGGACCAAAATTACTCAAAAGGGTCCACTTTAAAAATTCAAATTGTTTGGATAAGGGGATGAACAAAGGATCAAATAATGAAAATCTATCGAGAAAAGCTTGGAACACAGTGTCCTAATACCCCAAACAATCAAAAAAAACTTAGTAAACAAAAATATTCAAAGAAATTGAAAAGAATATGTTACATGTAATAGGAACCACGCCCTTGAGTTCACATTGAGATCTTGCTTAAAGGACAACCTCAGACATAAGAAGATATTAATTTACACATAAAGAAGTAAATAATTAAATATTTAATATGTTAACTTACCTCTTGTATTTTGTTGCTGAATTCTTAGGATTTTTAGACTTTTATGCTAAAATATTACTTTTAAAACAATTGAATAAATAGGATAAACATCCCTTAATGTAAACATAACGTTAAAACAACTAAATATTCAATAGAAGTTCCTTAAAACCACTTTTAAATTTAATACTCAAACGATTCAATTGCACCGTAAGCCGCCATTTTGTACTCACTAAGAAAAGAAATTTAATAATATAGTTTACCGTAAAAATATGTGTATCTATTTAGTTACAAATTAATTTAAAAATCATTGAACTTAGGTTAGAATACCTTAATTCACCAATGTATAGGGTTAAGTTTATTATTTGACGGATCACAAATCAACGCAAATGTAATTCGTAGCCATGTTTTAATTTTTTGGTGAAACGACACAACGTAGTGGAATGCGCAACGTTAGCAAAGTAGAGGGGGAACAATATGGTGACGTTATTCCATGGCCGTAGAGATAAGAGTGCTTACGGAACAAATTTCCGTAATATGAGAAATACTACACAGAGGGAGACCTAGACAGTCACCGACGAATCAGAAAAAGGTATAACATGACATCCGTTTCCGTCAAAATCTGTACAAAATTGAAAATATATTTTATGGTTAATAATAAATTAATATGTTAGACCAGTATCAGTTTGAAACTAAACAATTATAAAAATTAAAACATTTGAGTGTTGTTTTTCTATAAAAATTTAACTAATCCTATGATTTAAATGTGTTACAGTTTTATTAACATACTGCTAGCTACATCATAAAATACGAAATGGACTGACCCATAATGAAAGCTTTACAGTGAAGTGTAGGCAGGGTTAGTTAGAGGATTTACTGAAAATTTTGTTAGTGGAACAGAAAAGGCTATATATTATTATAGGACATCATGAAATAACTGCATGCTGGTATAATGCAAAATCAATTATTTATGCTATATTCATTAGTAACTGACTGTATTGTAGAATCTTATTGACACACTCTAAAATCTTGACTCTGGTGAGGTTCGAACTCACAGTCTCTGCATTAACAACACAGCGCTTTAACCAATTAAGCCACAGAGCCGTAAAGATTTGGTATCGAAGATGCTACAATCACTCGTGTAATTTAAAAAGTAGTTTCATTATGCAAAACATAACAGCATATAGCTAAAAAAAGGCAATATAGTTGGAACATAAATTTAAACAATATACGAATTTGAAATCTTCCAAAGACGACTTTTTACAAAATGGAGAACTACTGTTTTCAAGCGCAGTATTTACAGTAAACAATAATTAAAAAATATTGATTTGTGATAAAAATATTCAAGCAATGATTAAAAAAATGAAAAAAGGCTGTATCAACTATATACAAATTGAACTTGCTGACAACGCATCAACAAGAACTTTTCGGTATTATCAAAATTTTGAAATTTGGTTGGAGTAACCTTAGTGGTGAGTTTCACGAAGAACGAAGATTGACAACATCAAAAACAGCAACATGATTTCGATTAAAAAAAGTGACACGAGAGTATATCGATGAGATAAAACCGCATTTGCCAGAAGTCATCAACAAACAGAGCTTTTCGGTACTAATTGTAATTACGATTTTGAAATTTGGTTGTAGTAGCCTTAGTGATGTTTCATGAAGACCGACAACAACAAAAACAGCAGCATGATCTCCATTGAAAACAAGTTAAAGAGAATGTATTGATGATATAAAAACTGCATTTGCTGACCAGGTATCAACAAGGACTTTTCGTTACTAATAAGATTTTAAAATTCAGTTTGAAGTTAGTGGTGAGTTTCATGAAAACTGATTATCAACACTATCAATGATTTCGATTGAAAAAAGTGAAAGATAATCTATTGATGATATAAAAACTGGTCGCCATTATTAGTAGAAGCAAAACACAACTAATGGAAACGTTCAAGGAAATTGATCCTGAAACACAAAAAAAGAGGTCTTAAATAAACGCAACAAAAACTAAGTACATGATCATCAAAAGAACACCTGAGAATGAAAATAATATAAAATACTATTGAATGTGTGATCACACAGAAATCAATCAGAAGAATTTTTTCTTTATTTCCGTATTTCCAGTGTAAATCGTGCATACTATGCTAATAAAAGATTGATGACATCGAAATTATTAGACAAAAAGAACCAAAATGACATCTACAGAACTTTGATTAGACCCGTAGTAACCATGGTTATCAAACCTGGGTAATGACGAAAAAAGAGGAAGCCCAACTCAGGATATTCGAGAGAAAGGTACTGAGAAAAGTATATGGCCCCGCGCAAAAGGAAAAAGGCACATAGAGAATCAGGAGAAACGACTAAGTTAATGAACTGAATGAAGCGTATGGCATTGTAAGATTTGTGAAAATTCAAAGTTCAAATGTTCAGCGAGAAGTAGACACGAAAACGACAAAGATGTTACAGTGGAAGCCGGAGGAAGGCGGAAAAAAGGATGACCCAGGACGAGACGGTTGGATGACATGGAAGACGAACTGAAAACCATGAATATAAGACAATGGAGGAGAAGGGCCGAAGAGAGATCTGAATGGAGGGTCATAGCCAGACAGATAAAGACCCATCCAGGGTTATGATGCCAAAAGAAGAAGATATAAAAACTGCATTTACCGACACGGCATCAACGAGAGGATATTTTCGGTATATCAAGATTTTGAAATTTGGTTGGAGTAGCCTTAGTAATGTTTCACAAAGACCGAAGACCGACAACAACAAAAAAAGCGGCATGATTTCCATTGAAAAAAAGTTAGAATATATTGATGATATAAAAACTGTATTTACTGATACGACATCAACGAGAGGAACTTTTCGGTACTTGAAATTACGTTCGAGTATCCTCACTGGTGAGTTTCATGAAGACCGAAGAACGCCAACATCAAGAACAGCAGCATGATTTCGAATGAAAAAAGTGATGGAAGAATGTATAGATTAACTGCATTTACTGACAAATCATCACAAGAACTTTTTCGATACTATAAAGATTTTGAAATTTGGTTGGAGTAGCCTAGTGGTGAGTTTCATAAAGACTCAAAATTGAGAACAGCAAAGACAGCAGCATGATTTCGATTGAAAAAAAGTTTGAGGGAATGTATCGATGATATCAGCACTGCGTTTGCTAAGAAGGCATCAACAAAAGTTTTCGGTACTGCAAAGATTTTGAAATTTGGTTGAAGTAGCCTTAGTGATGAGTTTCATGAAAACCGAAGACCGTCAACAACAAAAACAGCATCATAATTTCGATTAAAAAAAAAGTGATAGAGAATGTATCGATGATATAAAAACTGCATTTACTAGCAAAGCATGAACAAGAATAAAGATATTTAGATACTATAAAGATTTTGAAATTTGGTTGGAGTAGTCTAGTGGTGAGATTTATGAAGATTCAAGATCTACAGTAAAAACAGCAGTATGATTTCGATTGAAAACATTTTGAGGGAATGTATCGATGATATAAAAACGGCGTTTGCTGACAAGGCATTACCAACAACTTTTCGGTACTATCAAGATTTTGAAATTTGGTTGGAGTAGCCTTAGTGATGTTTCATGAAGGCCGAAGACCGACAACATCAAAAACTGAAGCATGATTTCGATTGAAAAAAAGTTAAGGAAATGTATCGATGATATAAGCACTGCGTCTGTTGACAAGGCATCAACAAAAGTTTTCGGTACTGCCAAGATTTTAAAATTTGGTTGAAGTAGCCTTAGTGATGAGTTTCATGAAAACCGAAGACCGTCAACAACAAAAACAGCATCATGATTTCGATTAAAAAAAAAAGTGATAGAGAATGTATCGATGATATAAAAACTGCATTTACTAGCAAAGCATGAACAAGCTTTGCTAGTTAATGGTAGTTAATGCTAGTTAATTTGGTTGAAGTAGCCTTAGTGATGAGTTTCATGAAAACCGAAGACGGTCAACAACAAAAATAGCAACAAAAAAAGTAAAAAAGAATGTACCGATTATATAAAAACCGCATTTGCTGACAAGGCATCAATAAGAAAAACTGTTCGGTAAGTACTATACAATTTTGAAATTTGGTTGGAGTAGCCCTAGTAGTGAGTTTCATGAAGACCGAAGACCGACAAAATCAAAAGCAGCAGGATGATTTCAGTTAAAAAAAATTGAAAAAGAATGGATCGATGATATCAAAACCAGCAAAGCATCAACAAAAATAACTTTTCGGTACTAACAACATTTTAAACCAACATCAAAAACAGCAGCGAACATCGATGTTACGACTACAAATTTTTGATGATTTGACATCAAAAACAGTAGCGAACATTTGGTAAAGGACATTGTTAGTGCGATTAAAGTAGGATTTATGCATAAATCCCGAAAACCAAACAATAATCAATTCTTTCCGTGTTATAAACATGAAAGAAAATAGACAAAACTCACACAATATCGCAGTATTCCCAAGAAAATGATGCCTGCTTTGAGTCGAAAATTGAACCCATTGTAACTATTTTATCAGAAAAATTGTATAACTGTAAATGAGAGCAATATATAACTATTTGTTTATCGGATAATTCCTCAATGCGAAAAAAATAAAAACTGAATAAGGAGAGTGCAAGTCTCATACAGCACACCAAATAAGGAACTTTTTGACCACTGAAAACGTGAAATTGATGTCTCATCCTTATTCTAAGCTAAGTCATACACGTTTCTTAAGTTTCCAAAGTCATAGACACTCTAAATATGTTTAGAAATTAAAGCAACAACTGTCATATTAACAAGATATGAAAAATCAATACATTTGGTAGTACTTAAGGTAAGCAGAATGGAGGAGAAATGTGTCGTCAAAATGGCAAGAGATAGTCACCAATCGGTAGAAGTATCGGCCGACCGCTCAAAAGATTAAGTGACAACCTTCCATAGTATTAATCCTCCAATGAACAAGCAGAATTGCTTATAAAGAGGGAGAAGAAGATATTAACGTGTGCGGTTATGCAAGATCGTTATGCAAGAGTGGCACAATTATAAGCGACCACTTGACGAAGTCAACAATAAATAGCTAGATCAACGACTAAACTAAAAACATTTTAATGATTAGACGAAATGAAATAATTGTATAGTGAAAAAGTGATACAACCTAAGATATACTTCAAATCCAGAATTGATTACATTATGAAATAAACAATGAACAAGTAGCATAGCTAAAACACCTATGCACCACCAATGGATTTGTATTAATGTGAAACAGCACATCACAAATCATTATAACAGCTTGCAGTAATATGTATTATCTTATTTCTAATTATACATTTAGAAACAAACTTGATGCATTAAAATAATATATATATATATAATATAATATATATATATAAATAA